CAAACAGTATAATTTGGGGACCAAGAAACAAGATGATTCTATAAATTTATAATTCTCTGCTGCCTGTTGCTCAAGAGAATCCCTGTTGGTTGGCCTCCAGGGTGTGATGGTGCCTCTTTTAGGACTATTTTTGTGTTCCTTTACTCTTCTGTCTCACTAATTGCTACTACTCATTTCTCAAGAGAATTTTAATTAGAGCTCTATTTACTGTGCTTGTCCCCTCAGGCTGTTTCAACAAAGGGCACAATTTTAGAAGTACAGCAAGAAAGTAAAATTTGTCCATACAATAAATTTTGTACAAAAGTATGAATAACTAAGTGAATAACAGCATGTGTTGAACAACAAAAACGTTTAGTTATGGACAGAGCTGCCAAGGGGCAGGATGTGGGAAGAAGCCCATGCTGAATGAAGCTGGCCTCTCCCCTGTGGTTCCAAATGCCTGAGCACTGGAACACTGCAGACTACTCCAGGAAAAAGCTCGCTCTTTCTACTATTTTCTTTTCAAAACTAGAAACCAAAAAGCCATTTCAGAAACAACTCCTGTGGAAGTGCATGTGTTTGAATAAACAACAGTGCAGTGTGACTTCACTCGGCACATGCTGCAATCAAATCACAACAGACTTTAAGAACATAATTTCTAATGTCGTTCTAACTTGTTCTCTCAGCCTCTCCTTGGCTGCCCCGGAGCTCGGTCGTGGGTTGCTGTGCTCTTCTCGGCTGTGGTCCATAGTGGTGGTGGGAAGCCCCAAGCATGGGGCCGTGGAGCCTCACACACTGAACCGCCAGCATGGTGGGGGGCGCACCCCGGGCCCAGCATCCCATCCGGGATAGGCGACAGCCACTGTCCATGGTCATCCTGCGGCAGAGGAGCCTGGAGTCGGGGGAAGTGGTGTCCAGGCTGGGTCGCTGCAAAGCCAAGGCCACGCAGCCTGTCTTCCTCATCTTGCAGTCTCAGTACCACAAGGACACTTCCCTGGAAAAGGACTGCACTCTGAGCCTGCTAGGTCTCCATCTTGCAAATGTGGGATTTAAGTTTAATAAACGCCTCCCAGATGGCTGCGAAGTCAGCACAACCTGCTGAGCAAAGGCACCCTGTCGAGGTCCACCAGCCAGGTCTCACCGGAAGGTGGAAGGCGGAGGCTGTGCGGGATTTCCACCANATATATATATATATATATATATATATATATATATATATAACCACCACAGAAGTCAAGATATAAAATATTTCCATTACACCAAAAAGTGCCCAAGTGCTTCTTTAAAGTAAATCCTTCCCATCCTAGACATCATGCAACCAAAGATTTACTTTCTATCAGTATGGATTTCTTTTGCCTTGATTTCCAATAGAATTTTACTAGAGATGATAAGAACAGAATTCTTGCCTTGCAGTTAACCTTAGGGAGAAAGTTATAGCCTTTCACCATTGAGCGGGAAGTTATTTTGGGGTTAAGTAGATACGGTATGAAGTTAGTTGCCCTTTGCTAGGCTGAAGAAGTTTCCTTGTATTTCTACTTTGCTGAAAGCGTATATCACGGAATGGGTGTAGTAGGGTAAAGGGAGCTCTGTGTTGTAAGGATCAACCTCAGCCTTAGGTAGAATGTGTCCGTAAGCCTGAAGACTGGAACTTGATGAGAATTCCTGCCCCTCCGTACGTGCCTTTTATCTACAGTTCGTCTTGTACAGGAGCGTTTTCTGCCTCCTCTCTCAGTGGTACCTGACCTTTGATTGATGTCCATGTAGAATCCCAGACTCAAGGCAGGGTTTCCTGCCCCTTCCCCAGGAGCAAAAGGTTCTTGTTTCTCCTTTGCTTCATCAACAAAGGATCTTCAGCTATGTGTACCTCTCCCCCAGAGGCAGACTGTTTTGCTATCATAACTTCCCCTCCCCCCAAAGCAAGTTTTTTGCCTGGGGTAAGGGTGACAGAGGGTGTTCTGCCCCTCCTAGTATCATTTCCTAGTACAATCCACCAGCAGCTTCTGGCATTTACTTCTTATGGGAGAAGGCACCACAGAAGCAGGCAGGGCTTCACGCCTATCCCACAGACACAGTTGCTCACCTCCTGCATGCCAGCACCATGGAGTGGACCTTCATTTTCCTGCACTGCCCTCAGCATTTCCCTTGAACAACTAGTAGGTGTCCACAGAAAAGAGCCTGCCAATGATTGTAAACTCTCTGATTGTGTCTTGAACTCCCAAATATTCCAAGTTGACATGTTGGCTCACACCTGGCTTTTAAGAGTTCGTTAAAATTCTAGCTGATTTATTCCTACCCTCTTGTATAGTGGCCCCCTCTTTCCCCTGTGCTCTGCCAAAGGTCAGACTTTGTGTGCCCCATCTCTTCTTGAAGCAGTTTATCACTCTTTGGAACTCAGTCTACTTGGTTACCTTAGTAACCAAGATTAGACCTCCAATCTCTAAAGGGGTCAGGAAACATAATGACTTCATATTATTTGCCTTTTCTCATTGTTACAGTGGGACCAAAGTATCTTAAGCGGAAATGGAATTCCAAAGGCTATTTTTAATCTTTAAGAAACAAGCAATTAATAACAAAACTAGCTACTGAACATGCAAAGGAAATAATTCAAAATTCTCAATTTGTCTCCAAACTCATTAATTGAATTTGATAATTTTTAGTATGTTCATATAAATAGAAATTCACAAAGGTTTATTTAAAACCTGAAAAATAGTAAGCTGTTACATGGCTGATTAATATTACTTTAATATTAAATATTATTTACTAAAAAAAATTTTAATATAAATAATATTTAATTATTAAATATTAAATATTAGCTAAATAAAAAGGGGAGGAAACCTTATGCTGTTTTGTTTTTTTCTCCAGAAAGATGCAGAGGAGAAACGTTTGTCACCGATCTTCTCCAATGTTCAAAATACTTTTAAGGTAAGTTTCAGATCTAAAGTACTAGAATGTTACTCCTTCAGAGTCTATGATATAGCAAATACTTCCTAAGATAGGCTTGGAAATAAAGCACACAAGCTAACATTACAGCACAATTACCAGTTTTCATTAACTCAGAGTTACAGGGTTAGAAAGAATTTAGAGGTAGTCTAGTCCAAATTCCTATATAATGCAAAAATGTCCTCTAAACATTACTGATTGCTTGCATACCTATAAAGTGGAGGAACTCTCTACTGACAGGGTAGCCTACTCAATTTTTAAACAAATAATGTTTGCAAAGTTGTTTTTCTAATATTGAGTCAAGATGAATGTCTCTAAATTTACAACCATTTGTTCTAATTTATCATTCCAGAGCTATTTGCAATAAATCTAATATCCTTTTCACTTGAACAGCCATCAAATACTTGAATATGATTATCTGATTTCCTTTTTCTTCTTTTTTTTTTCCAAGCTAAAGTTTCCATCAACTATCTTTACCTTTTTTTCCATTAAGCTGTAGTCCTATGGCTTGTCTCAGCACTCTTTGTCTTCTCTACCTGTGACTTAAACTTCTTCCGCCATCATCTAAATATTAGACACTCTGAAATGTTATATACCCATCTTTCAATTTTTCTTTCCTCTATATTCTCTCTCTGGACAGGCATATCCAAATTCTCAGCCAGGCATCACCTCTATGAAAATAATACCCAAATCAAGCTTTCATATCTCTTGAAATCAGGCACTAATGTTTTGTGTCTGTAGAATCTCTCATATGATGGATCACTCATCATGGGATTTGTACATTTTAGATTGATTATTACCCTTATCAGTGTGTGTGTGTGTGTGTGTGTGTGTGTGTGTGCATGTGTATGCATGCGCATGTGTATATTTTGGGGTAAATATATTAATACTCCACAGCTACACATAACAATTTCTCAGGTAATAGTTTTCCTTGCTCAAAGCCCCCTGGGTAAGGAAAGGCTTTCTCAAAAGTTTCCGTGGTCAGTAGGCATTGTTTTTCTTCTCCCACCTTTTGCAGGTGACAATCTATACAGTGTCAGGGGTTTATTCAGAGACCTCAGCTCCAGCTCTGCCTCTTCCCCTACCTATGGCAACTACTTTAGATCTAAAATTTCAGCTTTTGCCCCATATTAGAAGTAAAACCAATCTCTAAGCCTGAAGGCCTAAATTTAGTCTGATAGTTCCCTCAGACCATTGCAACATTAATGTTGAAACTACTGCTCTGGCCTTAAGTTCCCTCATTGAGGACAGGGCATGTAAATATATAGACGCAAATCTGCGTCACCGGTCCTCAGTGTGTTAAATTTTTGTCGCCCAGAGATTCATCCTATCTTTATTTTGGGCTAAGCTATACATTTACATTTGTTTTTTTGTAGTTCATATAGTGTTTATATGATTGTGTGTGGGGTGTGTGTGGTGTGTGTGTGTGTGTGTGTGTGTGTGTGTGTGTGTGTGCGCGCGTGTGTGTTTGTGTGTTTTCTCAGTACAACAGTTGCTAGAGCTAGAACCCACTGCATTTCCACATATCTGAAGGTTGTGTCTACTTGGCTGTCCTCTTGTAAGCTCAAGCTCTGTGTATCCAAAACTATATCCATAAAATACCAAAATCTCCCCATTTTGGCTTTTTTTCCTGCCATAATTAATGGCACCCTATCTTCCTGGTTTTCCAAGTATGAAGTTTTGGAATCAATTGAATCAACCTTTCTGTTGGTCCTCACTTTCAGTTAATCAACAAGTTANATCTGAAGTGTACCTGGTGTATAAGACGACCCCCCACTTGGAGGCATATTTTTCAGGGCCAAAAAATCGTCTTATACGCCGGCAAATACGGTATAGTTGATCAGAATGCCAAATTAATAATCCAAAACTCTTATTCGTGATTAAAGGCTATGCTTCCAAAATTTCTGCAACTGAAGATATAAAAGCTTATTGATTACACTTCTAGCAGCTAACACAGGCTGCATATATATGCACAGATGGCTAATTGGCTTTAGTTGGTGGAGGGTCATTTTAATTAAATTTTATTATAAAAAATTTCAAAGCCAAAATAGACAGCTAATGATAAATATGGCCCTTCACAGATGACCCAATTTCTATCATTCTCCACCCCACCAGGCTTAATAGAGAAAGTGACAACGGAACTATCCACATCCATCTACCAGCTAATTGATGTCTACTGCAGCAGCTTTTATGCAGATTTCCAGCCTCTAAATGCATCAGATAGTGTTCCCTTTGTAAATCCTGGGCTCCATTCCCACCTTAGCTTCACAGTGTATGCAGCTCACAACATTCCAGCTACCTGGGTGCACAGGTGAGTGGTGCTGAGTATTTCACAAAACCATTACTATTTACATAGCTTCTAATTAGAATATAATTTATCTTGTTATTTGTAGGAGCAAATATTTCATAAAATTTTGAAATTCAATCAGCATAAATCTTATTCTTAAAATCATTTTAAAACATTTTATTCCTAATGCATATTCCTTTTCCCTCAAGTCTTCTCCATTCTCCATATTAATAATAACTGCATATTCTCAATATATCATTATGGAAACAGAAAATGCTCATCCTACTTAGTGATTATCATAAAAATTTCTTTTTTATATTTGAATCTAAATGGCTAATGCCAATTAACAGAACACACAGAGAGTTGGCACACACACATATAGGAAGATGGAGAGTAATTAAAAATAGAAAAACAAATCACTCTGATCCTCATCAAGTTATAAGTGGTAAATGTTTTGTGAGATAAATACCTTGATAAAGTGAGTATTAGCCAAGAGTTATTTGAGTTACAATAAAAAGTAACCACAATTATGCATGGAATATCACCAGAATTTAGTTTGACTCTATTATGTATTATTTTCTTGAATAACAGAGTAATATTATAATAATTCTTAAAATCCCTTATGGACTAAATCTATAAAATAATACAGATGAAATTAATTAAAGTCGATAAGAATACAGTAATTTATTAATGGATTCATTGTACCCACTGCATTTAGCATCTCAAAGAAAAGCTAAAAGAAACTATTTTAGTAAAAATAGAAATAATTGTTACTTTGGCCTCTATTTTTGCAAATAACTGAACTGTGTATATATCTTTAGAGTCAATTTTTTACCTTTTTATGTAAAAAAAACCAAACAAACCCTATCTACCTATATTATCTCTCTATACACGTTTCTTTAGCACCCATGCAATGATTTCCTTTTGGTTTTTCTTAATTTTATAAAGAATTTTAAAGGGCTGATGTATAATATAATAAATTGCTACCCTAATGAATGCTCTCTTATAATTCTTAATCGCTAATATATTTAATTTTAATTCACATGAAAAAACTACAAGACAAAGCTATATGCTGTTGCAGAGCTTGTTGTAACAGTTTTGTTCATATTTTTCTATTATTTTTCTATTCTGTTTCATTTACTTCTGTTCTAATCTATATTATTTCCATCCATTTATTAGCTTCTGGCTTAGTTTGTTCTTCCTTTTCTGGTTCCTTGAGTATAAAGTTATGTTATTTGTGATCATTCTTCTTTAATGTAGGCATTTACTGCTATAAACTTGTCTNTTTTATCCTCAGTTTTCCTAATATACATAAAAGATATCATAGCATTTAATGCGCAGGGTGTGGTCAGGGCCATTCTTGTTTGCACTGCCAAAATGAGTAAAAAAAAAAATGTGCCCCAAATGAAAAACAGGGGAAAACTCGTGAAAAATTGCTAAATGAAATGGAGGTAAGCAATCTGCTAGAGACAGAGTTCAAAACAATGATTATAAGGATGATCGAGGAACTTAGTGAGACCTTCAACAAAGAGACAGCAAGCATAAAAAAGGACACAGAAACCATAAAAAAGAACCAGTCAGAAGTGAAGAATACAATAACTGAAATGAAGACTGCACTAGAAGGAATCACAGAAGACTAGATGAAAAAGAGGATTGAAGCAGCAATTTGGAAGACAAGGTAGCAGAAAACACCCAATCAGAACAGTAAAAAGAAAAAAGAATGTTTAAAAAATGAGGATAGTTTAAGTGATCTCCAGGACAACATCAAGCATACAATATTTACATTGTAGGGCTACCAGATGGTGAATAAGAAAGCAAGGGATTGAGAACCTATTTGAAGAGATGACTGAAAACTTTCCTAACCTGGCAAAGAAGTATACATACAAGTCCAGGAAGCACAGAGTTCCAAACAAGATGAACCCAAACAGGTCCACACCAATACACATTATAATTAAAATGGCAAAGGTGAAAGGCAAAGAGAGAATCCTGAAAGCAGCAAGAAAAAGGCAACTAGTAACTTGTAAGGGAGCTTCCATAAGATTGTCAGCTGATTTCTCAACAGAAGCTTTGCAGGCCACAAGGAATTGGTAAAATATATTCAACATGATGAAAAGCAAGGATCTACATCCAAGGGAGCTCTACCCAGCAAGGTTATCATTTAAAATTGAAGGACAGATAAAGAACCTCCTAGACAAGAAAAAGCTAACAGAGTTCATCACCACCAAACCAGTATTACAAGGAATGTTAGAGGGACTTCTTTAAGATGGAAAAAAAAAATCAAAATTATTAATAATAAAATGGCACTAGCTACATATCTATCAACAATTACTTTCAATGTAAATAGATGAAATGTTCCACTCAAAAGACATAGGAGAGGGCTAAATGCATACGAAAACAAAACCCTTACTTATGCTGCCTACAAAAGACTCACTTCAGGTTGAAAGACACAAACAGGTGGAAAGTAAAGGGATGGAAAAAGATATTTCGTGAAAATGGAAACAAAAACAACAAGAACAACAACAACAGCAAAAGCTGTGGTAGCAATATTTATACCAGACAAAATAGGCTTTAAAACACAGGTTATAATAAGAGAAAAAAGAAGGACCCAGTAATCCCACTTCTGGGTATTTATCTGAAGAAATCCAAAACACTACTTGGAGGGGATGTGTGCATCCATATGTTCATTGCAGCATTGTTTTCAATGGCCAAGATGTGGAGGCAGCCTGGGTGTCCATCAATGGAAGAACGGATAAAGAGGAGGTGGTACATATATACAATGGAATATTGCTCCGCCATGGGAAGGAATCGGTTCTTGCCATCTGCACCAGCATGGGTGGACCTGGAGGGTACTGTACTGAATGGAGGGTCAGACAGAGAAAGACAGATGCAATGTGATTTCACTTATATGTAGAATCTAAAGAACAAAATAAACAAAAGCAAACTCCTAGATACAGAAAACATTTTGATGGTTGCCTGAAGGGAGNATATTGTTCTATTCTGTGAGAGAGTGGGAAAATTATACTATAGTTTTGAAAAGCCTACCACCAATATGTTTTGAAAATAAGCATTTTGATAAACTCAAAAACTTGGTTATTATATAATGCTAAGAAGAACCTCCCAATAGCTGAAATTAAGTCAGGATAACAAGGTTGTGAAAATTAACTTTCAATAAGCAATTAGTTTCTCTTAGACTGTCACATTCTGGAGACATTACAAGCACCTAGAGTGGATGATAAACTAAAAGAGCTCAGAGTCATGCAAACATGACTTGAATTCCAGATGTGCCACTTTCTAGCAGGATAATCTTTGAAAATTTAATTCATTTCTCTGAGTTTCAGTTTTCCTCATCTCTAAAACAGAAAAATAAAACAGAATTTGCAGGGTGCTTGTCAGTGTTAAAAATAATGTTAATAATTTGCTATGAAATATTATGTTACCTAAGTATTAGAAATTATGTGAATAAATTCATGTAAAATAATGCTAATAATAATAATCCAGATGATAGTGTCCTGAGTGAGAGTCATCATTGTTATGGAGGTAGTGGGGATGGTGCTGGTGGTAGTTTTCCAGAATCTCCCCCAAGTGCCCAAGATGGTGTTAATTCACCTGAGCACCACTTAGACCACCCCCGTTATCCTAGGGCCATTGATTACAGCCAGCCTCATGACAAATATGAGCCTTTGCCAGTAGAGAAGACCAGATGTATGAATGTGAACACATCTTTCCATCTGTTAGGACCACTTGGTTGTTCATCCATTTTTATGTCCAGTTCTCAGTGAATCAGCAGAAACAAATAACTGGTCAAAGAATGAGGAAAATCTAATTTTAGGATGAAGCACTTCAAATGATGTTAAAGTATTACTAGATATAAAAGGTTTTATCTTTAAAACATTCATTTCCTGAAATTCTCTAAAAACACACAAATGACAATATTCTCTGAAATATCAAACTTTTCAATATGTCTAAAGCCAAAAGAATCCTTCAAGGAGAAATTGAGTATTTCCTAGGAAAGCTATGAACAATTTTCATTCTCAAGGAAAGTTCACATTCACATTTCACATTTCTTACATACTTATGAGCACTCAGTTGTATGTGATTATTCATGCATAGAAATGAAGAAAAGAGTTGATAATGATCAGGTTTCTTTCATATATGTCAATGGCCAAAATCAACAGTTCAATATCCCCTAATAAACAGATTCTACTTACTCTGAGCACACTTTAAAGTTTGCTTATTCTACATCACCTTCATTCAGACTTTTTGTTCATCTTTTTTTCCATTCTATCTTAACTATGAGCCCACCTACATAAGAATGTTGGCACAAACAATAAGTATATTTTACAGAACTTGTGCAGTAACCAACTGCGGTTAACAAAGGCAAAGTCGTTCAGTCTATCCACCCACCACGAACCAAGATTAAAGAAATACTGAGAAATATGAGTCTTCTGCCAACCAACTCAAATTTGAGAAGCTTTTCTTTCTTGCGGCTGCATTTTTTGGGCAACTTGCAAGAGACTATTTCCTGCCACACACGGCAATGATTAGGTATTTATTAAACATAAGTTTTGGCAAGATGAAGACTTATATTGCAAATGCAGTTTGCAGTACTCTCGACTCTAGTTCATGCTCCCACTCAGCACTGGAAACAATTTTCCATCCTTCAAAATTATATTCCAGAAGTTCACATAATATATTCCAATTAAATGCTCATACAATAAATGAACCACAAAGTGAAAAATATGGCCTTACACATTGTTCTGTAGGTGGATGTCATGGTGATTTTAAAATACAAGTTTTCATTTCTGAATAAATTGAATTCCAGTTAAGTCAAGCTAACATCTCCAATAGTCTCACCCACATGGATGGGGTAAAGATCTTATGTGTAGGTGTTAAGCCGAGCAGTTGAAACTATGCTTAGATGAAATATTTTACCCAAGAGAAATGCTTCTAAAAAGTTCATATGAATGATGCTTTTAAGTAAAAAGTTGTATGTAAAGTTAATTACATTTTAAACATGATAAAAG